GAGGCTACCAGCCTGGGTTAAGGACCGACGAGTGATCGTACTCGTAGACAATGGGTCATCACACAACTTCATCAATGTCGACTTATCCCAGAAGCTGAATCTACCAACCACGAAGATTGAGCCCTTTGAAGTTCGAGTAGCCAACGGTGAGAGACTTCAATGCACCGAGTCCTTTCGTAAGGTACCGATCAAATTCCAAGGAGTTGTCGTGGAAGCCAATCTCTATGCCCTACCCTTGGTTGGACCGGACGTGGTTTTAGGAGTTCAATGGCTAGAAGGGTTGGGAAGGGTGACCACAAATTACCGTACCGGGGTCATGGAGTTTAGATCTGGAGGCAAGCGGGTCACTCTCAAGGCTGGTGAAGAGAAGATTACTAAGGAGGTTGGCCTGAAGAGCATTGAAAGAGTTTGGCGAGGTGCGGCCAAATTTTTGCAGTAGTCGTGGAAAACACTGAGGCGCACATGGTCGAGAACGAGCAGCAACAAGGAGATGTGCGCGAGCTTCTCAAAGAAATTGAAGGAGTACTGGGCGAACCTAAGGGACTACCACCTCACCGGGAGTTCGATCATCGTATACCACTGGTCAATGAGCAACACGCAGTGCACGTCCATCCCTATAGGTATGCTCACTTTCAGAAAACTGAGATCGAAAGGCAAGTAGCTGAGATGTTAGAGTCTGGGTTAATTCAGCATAGCTCGAGTCCGTTTTCATCACCGGTATTATTAGCTAAGAGAAGGATGATACGTGGAAGTTTTGTACTGACTATCGGGCTCTGAATGTCGCGATGATCAAGGATCGATTTTCTATTCCGAGTGTCGACGACATGCTCGATGAGTTGGCAGAATCACGCTATTTCTCGAAGCTTGACCTGAGAGCTGGTTATCATCAGATCCGACTCCACAAAGCCGACATTCCGAAGACAGCTTTTCGTACACACCAGGGGCATTATGAGTATTTGGTGATGCCCTTCGGGCTGTGCAACGCTCGATCAACTTTCCAATTCGCTATGAATTCTATCTTCAAGGAGTATCTACGTAAGTTTGTTCTAGTCTTCTTTGATGATATCTTGGTATATTCAAAGTCATGGGCTGAACATTTGGAGCATTTGAGTACCTAGGTCACTTTATATCCTACGATGGCGTGAAGGTTGATCCACAAAAGATAGAGGCTATGGTCGACTGGCCTAAGCCAACAAGTCTCACACAGCTCCGAGGATTCCTAGGGCTCACAGGATACTACAGAAAATTTGTGAAGGATTATGGGACCATCGCCAAGCCATTGACGAAAATGACAAAGAAAGGCGGGTTCACGTGGACCAAGGCTAGGGAGGAGCATTTGAGAAACTGAAGGGCGCTATGACTACGACGCCGGTGCTCGCCATGCCAAGGTTTGATGTCTTGTTCGAGGTACACGCAGATGCGAGTGATATTGGAATTGGATTTGTGCTAGTGCAGGAAGGACGACCCCTAGCCTATCTCAGCAAGGCTCTAGGCACGACTTGGTTGGGATTATCTGTGTACGTAAATGAGATGCTAGCAGTTTCCGAGGCTGTAAGATACTGGAGGCCTTACCTATTAGGGCGTCGATTCTGGATTCTGACTGACCAGCAGCCACTCAAGCATCTACTCGAGCAAAGGATTGTTACGTCTGAGCAGCAGAAGTTTGTCTCGAAACTTATGGGGTTCGACTTTGAGATAGTCTACCGGCCAGGTCAACAGAATGCTGTGGCCGATGCATTATCCCGACGGACAGATGTAGCTGAACTTGATGCTATGACTGGGCCAACATGGACCATCTGGGAGGAAGTTCAAAAGGCGCAAGAAGAGGATATTTATTGCAAAGAAGTGCGCCGGAAGATCGAGGCAAGAGAAACCATTGCTGATTATGAGCTGCACAATGGCCTACTACTACATTGAGGCCAAGTATTCATTCATGACAGTGGGCAGCTACGCGACAAGATCATACAGCACTTCCACAATTCTAAGATTGGAGGTCACTCGAGTATCTACTGCACATGGATGAGGATGGCGAATACATTCTTTTGGCCAGGACAGCATAGCACGGTTCAGGATTACATCGCGCGATGCGATGACTGTCAGCGCACTAAGGCTGATTCACACCGACCAAGCGGGCTGCTGTAACCACTACCAATACCCGAGGCAATTTGGGAAGACATCACGATGGATTTCATTGAAGGGTTGCCGAGTTCTAATGGGTTTAACGGAGTAATGGTCGTATTTGACCGACTTACCAAGTATGCTCACTTCATACCCATTACCCACCCCTACACAGCCAAGTCTATCGCCAGATTGTTCGTCGAATATGTGATGAAGTTACACGGAGCTCCACGATCTATAGTTTCTTACCGAGATAGGATCATTATGAGCAGCTTTTGGTCCGAATTCTTCAAGCTGCAGGGGACCAAGCTATCCATGAGCTTAGCATATCACCCCCAAACAGATGAACAAACCGAGGTAACCAACCGAACCCTTGAGCAGTACCTACGGTGTTATGTTAATCAATTTCCGAAGAGGTCGGAAACTTTTCTGCCCTGGGCTGAGTACTGGTACAATACTACTTACCATGAGTCGACCAAGATGACTCCATTTGAGCTGGTATATGGGCATAAACCGCCAACACTGATCAACTACTCAGAGGGAGGCACGGTCAACGATGAAGTCGGTCGAAAACTTGAGGAGCGAGATTTGATATTGCGAGAGTTGAAGAAAAATCTCGAAGGCTCGATTAATCGAACCAAAGCTTTCTTAGATGGAAAGCGACGAGAGGAAAATTACGCGCCAGGCGAGTATGTCTACTTGAAGCTACGACCATTCAGGCAGCGCACGACAGCACAGAGGGCAGCAACTAAGCTAGGAGTACGATACTATCGACCGTACCAGATTCTGAAGCGCATTGGTCAGGTAGCTTATCGTCTAAAGCTACCCGAGAGTTCACAGATCCATCCAGTCATACACGTCTCTCAGCTTAAGAGAAGTTTAGGAGAAGCGCATAAGTGGTGCGAAGAGTTACCAGCAACTGCGACTGATGGAAGGGCCATAGTGCGACCAAAACGTGCAGTGGAGTATCGGAAAGTCAGGAAAGCAGAACGCTACCGCTGGGAGGTACTAATCGAATGGGAAGAGTTTCCACATGAGGAAGCCACATGGGAGGATCTAGATGAGATACGTGATCAATTTCTGAGTTTTATCCTTGAGGACAAGGAAGCGCTTGAAGGGGACGGGAATGATATGGAAGTGGCTAGGCAACTCAAGAACGCCGCAAGTCGTGCCTATCACGCACGCAAGAGAATGGCATGGGCCACAGGCGAGACACACTTTCTGGAGTGGGAGACGCGCACGGAGCGCGAGAGTGGCCAATCGATGGGCAAGGACAGCTGTGGGCAGCTATCGTGCGAAGCGGGCGAGCGGGCATACACTGACGCGGACGCGCAGCACGCACGGGCAATGGACACGACGAGCGCGGGCGCGGGTGAAGCGCACGGCAGCAGGACGCGTGCAACGGACGAAGCCTTATGCCTCGAGACAAGCGGCAAGGCAAGTGGGGCGCATGCACGCGATAAGGCGGCTGGCAGTGACGGCGTGCGCGACACGCCCAATGGAGGAACACGCGCGGGGCACGAAGCCCCAGTCCTTGAGACATGCGGAC